TTCTCCCCTGTAGAAGTTAAATTCTTTATCAATAATAGCTTCATATATATGTATGGGATGCCCCGGGCACAAAATAGGCATTCAATAGATAGTTGCTGATTGATGCCACAGAAACCTTTTTGGGAGATGCATGGCACGTCCTCATGGTTAGGGATTTCTTCTCCCTAGGTTGGATGGTGGTCCAGATTCAGAGAAGGCCATCCAGGAATGAGGGGGCATCTTGATCCATGGCTCCACTGGGGCACTAGGTGCTTATGACAGCCTTTCAAAATTGAAGTCACATGCTGATGAGTCTATGGATTATTTTCTTGGGGATGCAAAATAGCTAAGGTGAAATCTCACTGCAGTCAATAGCACAACAAAGAGTCCAAAGGGAGGAAAACTCAGTTATATTATCCGAATGTCAGTTTTGATTACTGAAATTGTTCCAGTGATGACATTTGGGGTTGGCTAGTGAGAGAAGTCATCTAATATGAAGCAGGAAGAGAAATAAACAATATTTTACGCTTACAATGCTTACAACATATTAGGTGTTTTATATATTCTCAGGCCTTAGAAAAAACCACTCCAACTAGGTATTAGCATCCCCATTCAGAGATTAGGAAACTGAGGCTCAGAGAGGTTAGGCAACTTGCCCACAATCACAGAGGTGGCAATTGAGGAGAAGAGATCTGAACTCTGGTCTATTTGACCTCAAAACCTATTATCTCTCCACATCATCAAAATGTAACCTTGGGTCATCTAAATGATGGCAAAGGGCATCCAAACCAAACCTTCATATTAGACCCTAGTAAAATTTCTAGGTTGTCAATAAGTCAGTAGGAGAAAAGACATTCACTGAAATAAGAGATGCTAAAATATACGACATTTTTCTCAGTATTCAATGGTCTTTCTTCGTATTCAAATGGTTTTTTATAAAATAAACTAGGTTGTGGTCTTTCTGGAATAGTTGGTGGAAAGATAGATGGGTGAGGTTCATCAGTGGCTTTCAAACTCTATCAACCCAACTAATTTTATGAAAAAGAAAACCACATAGACTGCATTACCACTGTGCTCACAGGAATTTGCTCTGAGGAAATTGTACTGGGTACCCAAGGTCCCAGACAGGGTTCTTACACAGGGGTATTGCCAGTAACTATCTGTGTGATTTCAGGCAATTCACTGCCTCTCTTTGGGCCTTGATTTCCTCAAGAGAAAAAAAAGAGGACATTTAAATAACCTTTGAAGCCTATAGATACCTTATTAATCTGATATAAGCTATGGATTCTTTCCCCAGACAATGCACATATGCATGTACATGCACAATTTTGAATGCTGGTTCTGGTTGTTCACGGATCTTCAAACAATGAGAATATGAGATAATGGGACTGTAGTCATGTTTACCAAAAAAAGTCCTCATCTTTTAGAGATGCAATCTGAAATATTTATGGATGAAATGATTTGATGTCTGAAATTTGCTTTAAAATGATCCAGTGTGTGGGGAGGAGTGCTGGTGGGAGGTAACAGATGAAACAAGATCATCCATGAACTGATAATTGGTGAAGCCAGGCAATTAGGTACACTATGGTTCTTTAATATTGTTTTCTCTACTTTTGCGTATATTGATATTTTCCATAATAAAATAAATTGACATAATAAAAGTTACCCATGATTTTAAAAAATACCTTGAATAGATGATCTCTGTTTCCAATTCTAATATTCTATGATTCTAGCATTCCAAAGAATTTGCAAAGAAAATGGACTTCTGGAAACATTGTATGTGCTCAGGGTGTTGAATCATCATCCTTCCTCTCCTAATAGACCCTCTGGGCTAGAGAGTTTGTTGTGGCCCCGTTTTCCAGATGATTCTGTGATATCCCATTTAATTACTTACTGAAATATATTTTTGGGGGAAAGAGTTGCAAAACCAAGCACAAAGGAGCTGGACAAGAATTGGTCTTTAATCACGTCACATGATAATGTGGCTCAATTTATTTACAAAGATTTTTTAAGGCGAAAAGACCCAATTACTGTTGCAAATGACTTTTATGGCATACAAAACACTTGGTCAGGATGCTGGGTCAAATTTGAGGACGTGAAAGAGTACGCAAACCTGAGGGCGTCGCACGGGGCTTGAGAGCTTGCATTCCAGAGCCATGTCGCCTGGGTCCCTGTCCTGGCTGTTTCACTCGACTAGCTCTGTGAGCTTGGGTAAGTCACCTAACCTTTCTGAGCTTCCGCTTCCCTATCCACAAAATGGAAATAACAGCATAATCCCCCCCATAGGGTTATTGTGAAGAGTCAAGCTGTGCCTGAACATAGGAAGCATTCAGCAGACGCTCACCTTTGTTCTCTCAATTGCGTAAATATAAAAATAGATTTAAAAAGATGCAAGACAGATTAAAATGCTATTAGCTTGCCTCTGGACTGTGACCAATGGGTGATTATTGTCTTTTCTTTATTTTTGTCTGGATTTCTAAATTTCTACAAAGAGTATTTGTTACTCTTATAATCAGAGAAAAAAGTGTTTTTGTTTTTTTTTTTGCTGAGGAAGATTGGCCCTGAGCTAACATCCGTGCCCATCTTCCTCTACTTTATATGTGGGACGCCTGCCACAGCATGGCTTGATAAGTGGTGCGTATGTCCGTGCCTGGGATCTGAACCTGCGAACCGCTGGGCCACTGAAACAGAGCGTGTGCACTTAACCACTATGCCACTGGGCAGCCCCAGAAAAAAGTTCTTTGAAAAAGTAATTTTAAAAGTCCTTCTGGAGAAAGTTTAATGCCCATAGGGGCCTAAATCATGCTTGCCCCACATGATATTCGACAAACAGACCACTTGAGAGGAGAGTAAGATGGAATGACTAGTAATGCCTTGTTCACATTTTCCTCAGTAGGCTCTCATCATCAGGGTGGAAGATTCTTGTAAATGCCAGTGAGCTTTCAAATGTGGCATTCCTGGTGTAGAACGAATAGAGCCTTCCTCTGCTCCTGTATCATGCCATACTGCCCCCTTACCACACAATCCTCCATACCAGCAGTTTAGCCTTTTTGAGGAGCCTGGACCACTTTGAGAATGTTACAAATGCTATGCCAAGAAAGATTCACACTCAGGCACACTCTTTTGCCTTCAATTTCCTGGGGTTCTTAGGCCCCCCCATAGCCCATCAGCACTGATTAAGAACACCTAAGCCATGACAACAAATTTAGGAATATACAAACACACTTCAGGTGTGTAGACTACTTGGTGAAAAATTCACATGTACAAATTCAAAACCATAAGCCAGACAAATCGGTGGATAATTATGGGTATTACATATGTAGTTTTTGCTTTGCCAAAGAATTTACATTAGGATATCTATAAATAGCAAACCCATAGAGAGTGTTTGAATCATATTGCTGTATACCCAAACACTAAGCCCTTCCCAGAACACATCTACTGCAGAGCAACAGGCCCAACTCATAAAGTTTAATACCAGTTTCACTGTTGAGTTTAGACACATCCATTTACAGTATTCTAGATCACCTGTGAAATGGCCACTAAGCTGACTGATGGTCAACGATGGACAATCATGAGACACCCAGAAACTTCCAGTCAGAGGAGAGGTGGTACCTGGGTGTGGGCTGTGAGACTGCTTTGGAGTGGATCATCTGTGGTGAGATGGGTCCCATCCCCTTATCTCAGGAAGAAAAGGATAAACATTGATTGAGTCTTCCACTGTACCGGAATGGACTTTAGGTCATCTCATGTATTTCTCACAAGGATTCTGGAAGGCGGGGCTTTTGCCTCCATTTTCAACTGAGTTTATGAAAAACTGACCCACATGCCCAAGTCAGACACTTATCAGAAAAAAAATTAAAATAAAAATAATGCAAAGCTCTCTGTCTTGGATTACCATCTTTGATGGTTAACTTCCAGAGGCTGGGATATGTAGAGTGTCCAGCAACATGGAAACTGACAGCCGGCCACTTAGCTGTGACTTGGATCCTGCTGGTTTGTCAATGGCTTTCAGGTATGTGTGTGAAGGGAGACAGGGACTAGACTTTTCTTTGCCCCATCTGACCTGCCCTCCAAACTGGCATCCCCTTTCCTTCACTCCTACACAGGGACTGCCCGGCATTCCAAAGATGCCTGGGGAACTCACAAGGAGATGTGTATAAAGAGCCAGGAACCCTGCACTTAAAAAAACCCCATACAACTACAAACTCCATCTTACGATTTTCACTCCTGGCTGAGATGCCATTTGGCATCTCACTGCTAGCAGCCCCATTTTACTTGATCCTCTTCCAAGATTTCCAAACATGTGCCTGGCACCCACGAGAGTTTCACAAGAAGTGTAACAGCGACAGAAGTGCTGTGGGGTTGGTTTTGTGTATGTGTGTTAGTGTAACTCTCATAAAAGCAAGTGTAAGTTCTTCCAGTATTAACTTCCACAAGAGGAGCATCAACTTTCCCGCGAACGCGGCATTTCCCTTTGCCTGGTTTTCCTGAAATGAGCGGTATCTGAAGTTAGGGATGCGCCCTGTTAAGCAAAGGGTCTCTGAGACCCTTGGAATACAGACAACTCTTTGCTGGCCCGCAAGTACCCTAGCTTTTCTGGAGTATCCCTGGGCGGTCTATCCTTCAGCCACCAGAAGCCGCCTAATACCCACACGCGCTGCGGGCACAAGTAGGTTCAAAGCAGAGAACCACCAAGCCGCCACCCTCCCCACCCCCCAAGAAAGCGATCTCTGAACCCGGAGTCAATGTGAATTGCGCGTACTTGCAGGTAAAGCCCAGCGCAAAGCCTCGGGTCTGTGTGGGCGAGGAGGCTGGGTCCACAGGGACGTGGTCCAGCATCGTTAGCAGCGAGTCCTGCCGGACATTCGAGACTCAAGAGAGGTACAGTCCTTGAGCCCTGGTGGAACTAGGGACGCGTCTCAGCCTCTGGGGCCAGCGCTAGTTCGGAGGAAACAAAGGTGGACAGAGAGCGAGAGAAGGAGAGGGAGTTTGTTTTCTCTTGGGGCAAGTGTGCGCGGTACCTTGGATTCCTGGCTGCTGGTGGATGCAGGAGAGGGCGGCTGCTCGGCGCTCGCCGCCTCCTTGGGCAGCCCGTCCACGCCGTCCTCGCGGGCGCCGCTCGGAGGGATCATCGTGGCGGCGCGGGAACGGTGTTGGGCTCCTGGAGGAACAGCGAGGCTCGCCTTCCTCGGGCTCGCCCTCCCGCCGTGCGCTACGTCGCTCAGCTCCGGGTCCTGGGGACTCCCATCCTCACCGAGGCGCCGACGGCCCTCCTCCGGCCTCGCCCCCGCCCCGGCCCTGCCCACCTCCCCCGCACTCCCGCGGGCAGGGGGAGAGCGCGCCCCGCCCCGCCGCGCTCACGGCCACCTCGCCGGCCACCGCACAGTCGTGACTGCCACCCGGCAGTGGGCGAGCGGGCTCGGGCTCGGGCTCGCTAGCCCGCGGGAGAAGGGGTGGGGGGTGGGGCGGGAGGCGGCTCCTGGGCGGGGCTGCGCGACCAACGCAGGGAGTAGCGAGGGCAGGCGGGGGGCCGCGCCCACGAGAGGCTCCGCTGGGAGGCTGGGCGCGCGCCGTAGCCGGTCGGGGGTGATTCTTTGGAAGGGATAGTGACACTTCAGACCAAACCCGGAATGAATAGAAAACCCGTGAATGATACAATCAGGAGGGACCACCTGCAACAACTCCCTCATTCTTCACCCCAAGAAACAGCGACTCTAAGGGACACAGTGACTTAGCTAAGTTATTTATAGTGTTCAGTGACGGAGAGCAGGGACCAGAGCTGGGGTTCCCTGGCTGGAGGGCACTCCCCTCTCCCCTATTCAGCAGTGGACTAAAACAGAGAGAGAATGCAGTGTGTCTGTCCTCATTGTGTTGTGCATTTATGTGCTACGCCTTTTACACCTTTTCCCTTATTTAAGCCCCAGAGCTACCCTATTGGGCCAGGCACTGTCACTTCCATTATAGATGAGAAAACTGAGGTTTTAGGGAGGCTGAGTAATTTGCTTTAAGTCACTGAACTGTAAATGGTGGAGGTGGTATTTGAACCCATTTTGGCTTCAAAATCCATGCTTTTTGGACTGTGGAGTCTCAAATCTGGGCCAGATCTTCATGGCTAGCTGAAGAGCAACTAGGGGTTGCCGTATAGCAAGGAGTTCAGGGCTCTTCACAGCGGGGCAAACCAATCTGCCTTAAGTCTTTTGGATACATAGAGATGGCCCCACTGGAGAAAGAGAAAGAAGGATCCAGTATCTTTTGAGGTTACAACCTTAGTGTGCAGGGAAAGCAAATACATTCGGAAATTTAACGGGCTTTTTTTTTCATGAATACAAAACTTCTCCCTTAATTTTCTAACAGAAAATTATAAACTTATGGTCAGATTTTCTTTAACTGTAAATGTTTGCAAGGCCAGCTTCATGGGTATGCAACTTGTGCATTCACGTAAGGCCCTGCACTTGGTTTAATAATCTTCTGTCTCTATCTTGAAATTCTTAATAATTTTTGAAGAAGAGGCCCTTCATTTTCATTTTGCACTGGACCCTGTGAATTATGTATTTGGTCCTGCATGTTTGCCCTAGCTCATGTCCTTTGGAAAGAACCTATCAGTCTTTCCATCCCAGACATCAATTGAAAGCTCCTGTTCTAAGTGACAGGCATTTGTCTTACTTGGCATTTGGCTCTCAGAGTGCTCTAAATACCATAGTGACCCTTAGCCTCCCATATGACCAGGCAGATTGGCTAACTCAAATGACTACAGCTTTTTCTTCCTCAAAACACAATTCCTGATTGCTCAATAGAGACAAAATTCTAACAGCCAAAGTCATAACAGTAGCAACCACCGCACACAATGACAGGAGCAGCAGTATCGACACAGATGCTTTATCAAGCATCTATTGCGTACCAGACATTCTGCTGGAAACTAATGATACAGCAGAGAGAAAACATAGGTTAAGTCTGTTCTCCTGGAATTGATAGCCTGGTTAGAGAAATAGAGATTAATTAAAACATACACATACACACGCACACATTTTTCATGAACTGTGATAAGGAAATGTACATTCATTCAAATGAATGTGCACAAATGTGAGGTCTGAACTAGTGAGGGGCCAGCGAAGGGTTTTCTGAGGAAGTAAAGACCCCCAGGGTCTATGGACAATTCCAATCCCAGTGGGCAAGCAAATTGTGGTTTACAACAAAAAATTTTTCATCTTTTGATTTTGCTTTTTTAAGAATTGAAGAGCAGCTATAAGATGTCATCCTTCATTTTAGAAAATGCTTAGCTCTGAGTAACAATAGTAATTCTCCAATAGTGTAAGTTCAATGTTGTCCCCCCGAAGGAAATTTTAAAGAAGCTTTGCATCCTTCCTCCTCACTCCACCCCGTCCTAGTAACAGAAATCCTTGGTCTGACAAATAATAGCTATCTTTCCCGGGAAATTGTAGAATTACCTGTAATTGCCAAAACTAATCAAGCCTTTCCTCATGTGTTTCTTTCCCATAAATCCCTTTCCATCCCGTTTTTTTATAATCTAGCTAACTTCTCTTATTCTTCAAAAAACATCTCCAAACATTTATTACTCTTGAAATCTCCTTCCTTGGCCTCTTTAGTCTGGTTTAGATTCCCAAACCAATGCCATGTTCTCACAGCATCCTTCCCTAAGTAATCAATGACAAAGCTGCCTGTCTTCCCACAGGGCTATAAGCTCTACTAGGTCAGGGACCAGGTCATGTTCGTCTTGTTTCCTCAGCCCCTGGCACAGTGTTCATTAACAAGACGGTTAAAGAAGGAAAGGCTACTGCCCTTGTTGCCCCCTGAGCTCTAAGATGGCCTAGACATTAGTTACTCCAAGTGCCCTCCACACAGTGAATGGAGAAAGACCCTGGATGCTTATAGAAAACAGTGGGATTTAAAATCAAATAAGCTCCTTGACATTGAGGATTCTGTCTTTATTGGCTCAAGAGAGGATCTTAAACTGAGTGCCATGGCTGTCTGTGAATGTGGGATTCATTGGTTTGCATGGAGGTAAGCGGTATGCAAAAAGGAAATTAGGTTCATAGCTCGTCTCTGGGAACAGGCATGGAGGTGGACAGATGCTGCTTTGTCTGAGTCTGTGGGGAGAGGGCTGCTGGCAGAAATGCATGGCACCGTATTCATGTAGGATGCCTTGAGGTTTGGGTCACAGGCGCTGCTGCTTTGGGACTAGATGACTATGCCTGATTCCAAGTCCTGGAGTCATGAGAGTCCTCCCACGTTGTCATGACAGCCAGCCCTGACCTGGTACTGAGGGGACATTGATTTATTGATAGTGATGCCCAGAGGACAGTGGAGAGGACTGATGGCCTCCATGTCCTGGAGGTCAGTGCATAGGAGACCAGCAAAGTGATTCCCTGAGGACACCTGGCAAAGCAATGATTCCTGAGCAGAAGTGTACTTGTTCATGGCCCTGTGTGAGATACCCCCTTGGGACTCCCAGTTATACTGGGGTGAGACCTCACAGAAGACTGAAGGTCCTGCATTAGAAGCTGCAGTGACATTTAGCTATGGCTGTCAAGATGACCTCATTTCTACTGAAGGCTGGTGAAGTCTGGGGAAATTCAGGTTGCAAATAATTGTAGCAGGACCCAGTGATTTTTGTAGATTCCCTTCATGGTCCATTTCACTCTGGTTTCTGGTTAAATATCAAGCCAGCAGAAATGTGAGATGTGCAGAAATTTATCTCCACAAACTTGAACTGGAACCTCCCACTCTTGGTTCGTTTACTCATTCATTAATTTGTAAAGGGGGCAAAGCCCTCTTCCTGATTGCATACAACTGCCTTTTGCAGTAACACTGCTAAGTAGCAGAGTGTGTAATGCTTTCTACCTTCTCCCATTGCTCTGCTCCAAGTTTGGAGAAAGAGACTGGACTTTCATGCTATACACTTTGGCTTCTTCTAGAACCATTTGGTAAAAAGGCACTATTTATTTATTTATTTAAAGGTACTATTTACTAATCAAGGTTATTTAGATAAAACAACCATATTTATGAGGGGTAGAAAAGAGAATAGCAAGAAAAAGAAGAAAGAAAATAATCAGAATGACCAGGGGCTGGAGCACTGATAAGGAGAAAGGAGAGAGGGTCTCGGTAAAAGATTGGTTCTCAATGTCTGATGCATCAGAGTCATCATGGGCAATGTGATACATGAGATGCACATGGAGTTTGACACTTAGATTGTTGATAATAATAATATCTAACATGTATTGGGCTTCTACTATGTTATAGACATTTTCTATATGTTATTTCATTTAATCTTTACAAAACCTTAACAAGATAATTGTGCTGGGTTCCACAGTGAATGTGGGAACGAGGACTCAGACTCAGCTATATCCTGCTCCTGCACCAAGTTTTGGCCACTCTGGACAATGGCTGCCCCCTAGACAATGGCAGAACCCAGATCTGATGAAGAGTCAGCAGGCCTTAAAGGGAAGGAGTGATGCAAATTTGAGAGCCAGAAGCATAATAGAAGACACAGGGAGAGTCCTCAGAGAATGAAGAGTTGTTTACTCCATTCTTTTACCTTAAAAGTAAATAATCACCAGATCTACACTTAGAAGGTGATAGCCAAGAAGTCAAGATGAACTAGACAGGAGGCACCAACCATTGCCATTTAGCCTTTAAAGGAGTGCTGGGAATCCCAGCATTAGTTGTCACCTCTGCCTACCTTGCCTGATGGACCTGCCTTCAAGCCCAGAGAAACCAAATGCTTTGCCCGAAGTCTTACAGTCAACAACATCAGCCCCTACTTTGAACAACTGTTAATGCCAGACTGCAATGCTCATAGGAACTCATGACTGGTCTCTCCTCAGCATCAAAGCTAATCATTTAGTTTGGAGACTCGTATTGTCAGGACAAATGAGATCCAGCTTAAGCATCCTTAACTTGTTTTTCTAAGTGCCAATTAATAGGAATAACAGCAACAGCAATAGTAGATCGTATTTGGATAGCACTGTTTGACTGCATTGGAACGATCTCCCACTAGAGATTCCTAGAAAAGGGTGGCAAGGCCCAAGCCTCATAGAGCTGCTTTCTGGTTAAGATCTACCTCTCTTCTCTAAAGAGAGGATGCATGGGCTGCTTCTAGTTGGCCATAAGCTCTGCGAGATAGAGGGGGACTTGAATCTTTATTCTACGTTTAGTAGAAGGGCCATGAATCTCAAGTCCAAATATCCCAGCTCTTCCTTTTAGAAGCAACAAGATCTTAGACAATTGATTTGATCTTTCTCAGCCTCAGATTCCTCAAGTCTAAAATGAGATGATAATTCTTACTTCACAGGGTTTTTACAAAGATTAGAGGATTAAATGCCTGGTCAAAAT